GCGGAATGAAATACGAACTGATGAAGTAAAAAGAAACAGCTATACTTTCGGATGCAACAAATACTGTTTTCCCACTCATATAGATATTGAAACATTTTTATAGAAAAGACTCATGTCCTTAACGATTGGCTTGTTTAAGTTTTCAGGCATAATGCGCAGGGCTTTTTCAAAAATGTTATTTTTGGACTTTATTTTGCCAACTTGAGTTATTTTTTTAGCCCTTTAGACGATAATTAGTTCAGAGTTATATTTAGGTGTCCTTTTATGGGTCCCCAATGAAAAATATTTCCCTAATTCGTGGTACAAAACTAAAATGAATGTGGTGCAAGCAAATTTTGGGAAAGCGCTCATAGCCGCTTTTAATTTTCCTTTTCAACGTTTAAAAAATCTTGGGTAGAGTGGTTTGCACATATTTCATTATATCGCTGGCTCTTGCATAAGGGGTATTCACGATCCGGTGCATACTGTCTAGCATGGTGCATAGATAGCATGACTGTTGTTGTTTCATGTGTCCAAACAACAACAAAATTAGCCAATCCTGCTATTTATGATATCTATGCACCATGCTAGATAGTATGCACCAGATCGTGAATACCCCTATAGTATTCAATGTTTTTTTGCTTGCTTTGCACTTTATTGCCAATGTACCCTGTGATTTTGCAGAGATCAAGCACTTTATGATTCTTGTTACGGTCTCATTTCGCTGCTATGTAAAACATTTTTTTCGCACTCTTGGGTTTTTCTTCTAGTGTTTTCCTATTCTTTAAAGCCGACATTTCCTTTGTAAATAAAGTTTTTTTTAAGTCTCATAGAGAAAAAATTAAAAAGCACGTTACTTTTCGTGACATTGAGTTTCTGTATACAAAATTTGCAAGCAAATTTTCTGAGTTCGTTCGCTTTCAAGGAAATTATTTCAGCATTATAATATACAACAAGGTAATTTTTAGTGCAATGCTTATTAAGATTGCGCAGTAGATTTTTAACCGACTTCCAAAAAAGGAGGAGGTTATCAGTTCGTCGGAATATATATATATATTTTTTTTTTTTTTATGTATGTTACCGCATAACTTTGGACCACGTCAATCGATTTCGATAATTGCATCGGAAAGGTAGTGTCTCAGAGGTGGTCCCATACTAATCTGGTTGAGGTCCGATCAGTGGATCATGAGATATATATATATATATATTTTTTTTTTATATGGGAGTTGAAGTCGGTTTTTTTTTGCTAAAAATTACTTGTTGTATACACAGTTTGGCTCCTGAGTTTACCATAATTTCTTAAAATCTGCTTAGAAATTGCCCGTATTTCATTCGGCATCAATGTTGCCAGAACTTTTCGGGCCGACCGGCTAAATTGGCAAAGAAAAACGGCTAAAATGTTTCAGCTAAATTAACATGTTTTATTTGAATGAAGTTGAAAGATTAATAAATTCATTCAATAATTTTAAGTTAAGAAGAAAACTATCGTTACACTAGATTAATTAAGCTCTACATCAGAAGTCATCTTGCGTTTGTTTGACTTTTTTTTTTCTAATGAAAAATTTTGTCTTATATTGTAACATTTGCACTAGGTTACTTTTCGTTCTGCAAAATGGCTTTATTAGTAGAAAGTATTCCAATTAGGCTTATTCGGGGGGCAATATTTTGAGAAATGAACACGTAAAGCTGTTAAAAGGCTGAGGAAAATAGTGCACCATTATTTCGAAAAGCCAGTAAATTATGTTCAAAAAGCCGGACGCTTTTTAAATTTTTAAGAATTAAACTATGTAATTTTATTTTGATATCCATATATTCGAAGCGTTCCCGTTTTTAAAGACCTGCTACTCTCTGCACATGCCTGTCAGGGCAACACTAAAGGATATTAGCACCACGATATAATTATTCATAGATATTGTCTTTCCAGAGAGTTTTTCTTCACATGGAAATTCGTGCTCTTTTATTCTCATCCGTCTTTTGCGAATAAAACTTCACACTACAATTTAAGACATTCATAAAAAAATTGTATGAACAAATCCCCGCTACGTTCGTTGGAAAAAATACAGTGACGCAACTAGAAAAATTATGATAAGCAGTTTTGTAGTCTAGTTTAATGAGGTGCAGCTTTGAATTAGCGAGGACTTACTGCTGATTTTTGGAATTTTTTAATGACGGTGTACGAATTTTTTGCCAGACAAAGTATGTTCGACAAACAAAACGGAGAAACACTGTCAAAAAAAAATTGCCTAAAATCAGCGGTAAATACTAGGTACTTTAAATTTTCTACTTTATTATACTTATTTTAAAATTTCTAAAGATACTGATATTTTTTATAATTGATATAAAATGATATTTTTTAAGTAATCAGCTATATAAACATTAAATTAGCTAATGAAAAATAAGCCAAACTTGCTAAAATGTCGCGTCCCAGTTTATATTTGGGTCACCGTATATGTGCTTAAAAAAATCATTGAAATCGGCCCAGTATTTGAAGACTTTTCGGATTAGAAAAAATTTTCTTTCAATTGTGTATCGTTGACGATACTGCAAAACGTTCTATGTCACTTATTTCCCCCGGTGCTTAGTGGATCTGTTATCTGTATCTGATCGCTTCTGGTAATCGTTCATCATCGTCAGCCAAAGGTACACAGTTTTGTCATTCGTTTATTAGGGTGTAATGATTTGCAGATGCATTCCAGTGGAAGTAAGAGACCATCTAAGTATCAAGAGTACTAATAGACATAGACCGTTTTGCAGTATCACCGACGATATATGTAACACACTTCGACAAGAAAAATTTCTCCGAGATAAGGCTATCCATTTCTATTCGATTTTTGGTCGCTAAATTTGCAAAAATTGAAACTTATATATATAAATTTTAAGAAAATATTGCAAATAGCAAAATCGGTTAAAAACGGTTATTTTTTTTTGCAAAGCGGCTAACAAATCGGCTGCCGGCTAAACCGAATTTTCTCCGGCCGTTTGCGTTCGCAACCCGCTAAATCGAGCCGGAAAACGGCTAAAATGGCAACACTGTATGTATTTATGTATGTAGATATGTCCTTACATACGTACATAATCCATGGTGAGAAAATGTATAACTTAAGGACGAGCACACCTAAAATAGAATTATTAGCAAAAACCAACAATACTAACAACCACATGATCAAGTGAATTGCAGCGGAATAGCTGCGCTTGATTGTGTTGGCATAACAAAAATGAAAATAGTGGAAAAAAGCAAACGATAATTTACAAGGCGTACTTAGCACGGTGCATAGGCAACTGGCTGAGTCAGTGGGATCGTCGGTTCGAATCCTACTGAAAGAAGTCTGATGAGGAAATGTGGTGATTTCCGAAATAGCTAACACTTCTACCATTTTTTAAAGTTATTGTTGCTTTTCCACAATAAATTTTCATTTAAAAAATGGCCTCGAGCTCATTATAAAATTGTTGAATATAATTGTTAAAAGGCCAAAAAATAACAAAAAACAAATAACTTAAGGACGAGCACACCTAAAAGTTAAGCATTCTAAAAATAGAATTATTAGCACAAACCAACAAAACCAACAACCACATGATCAAGTGAATTGCAGCGGAATAGCTGCGCTTGATTGTGTTGGCATAACTAAAATGAAAACAGTGGAAAAAATCAAACGGTAATTTACAAGGTGTACTTAGCACGGTGCATCGGCAACTGGCTGAGTCAGTGGGATCGTCGGTTCGAAGCCTACTGAAAGAAGTCTGATGAGGAAATGTGGTGATTTCCGAAATAGCTATCACTTCTACCATTTTTTCAAATTATTGTTGCTTTTCCACAATAAATTTTCATTACAAAACGGCCTCGAGCTCAATAAAAATTGTTGAATATAATTGTTATAAGGCCAAAAAAACAACAAAAGACAAATTAAAAATTTTGTACAGAATAATGATTATTTGAAAAATTTAAACAATCAGGCTAAAGCGTGATAATTAACTATTCTCATAAAAAAAATTAGCAAGATACATGCTATGAATCAGTGGATAATAAATAATTACTGAATTCATCAAAAAAAAGTTTAAAACAATAACTCTTGTAAAACTTCGAATTTTCCAAAATTGCTCAAATTACTATTTTTTTTATGGTTGCAAAAAGAATAGAGTGATTTGTGCGAAAAAATCTCGACCTTCCAATTTTGGTTGGCCCACTTGAGAGACTTGCACTCTGTATGAACATGTGTTTAAATATAACCAACATCAAACATACATCATATATGCATGTCAAACAACTTAGCTATTTTATTTTCTCCTTAAAATACCAAAAATACGTGTGTAACCAAAGAACGTAGATAACAAGAAAGGACAATTGTACAATTGTATAATTGTAGCGAAAGTGCGCAACAGGGGCGTGCCTTCTCTTTTGCCCTAATGCGCTTTTTTGATTGGTTGAAAAGAGAAGGCACGTCTCTATTGCGCACTTTCGCCACAATTATAACAAGTTGTCCCTTCTTGTTATCTACGTTCTTTGGTGTAACTGTAAGTAAAGAATCGTCATTTCACACATTGCACAGATTTGAATTGAATTGTTTTGCATTGCCTTTCATTGCCATTGCTTTTCAATACCATTGCTTTTATTGCCTTCTCACACAATGGATGCTTGAAGCGACAATGCTTAGAGAGAAACAAGCTATACAGTGACATGAATTGCTCATTTCTCTCTGTGCTCTTGCATAGCATTGGTGGTTGAAAACAAAACATTGCATTGCTATGTTAAATGACCAAATGGCTTGAAACTCGCTGTAACTCGACTTGTGCACCAGTCTAGTAGGTACATATGTACAACTTGCAAGATTTTCAAACCATTTGCCCGTTGGCGAAACATTAAAATTTACCAATTCAGTACGCGAGGTGCTGGCTAGTCTTTTTTCCCCCTATAATCCAAATAATCGCCAGATTAGCCATTTTCAACTCTAATTGGACTGCAATAATTTATATATGGGTACCTATGTATATTTCGGCTTTGATATTAAAAATGCCGTTATATTTACCCGCATTGGTCAATTTATTGACCATTTGCTGCGGCATTACACCCAAGCATGTGAGCAATGGCTCAAATATCAAATGCGCATCGAGCAGTTTTATTGAGTCCTGCAGAATGCCACCACGTGTTTGACCCGCGCCTGGTAATTTCACCGGTGCCGGTCGAATTAATTCCTTTTCAACGGAGTTTTCCTTCTTTTTGTTGTCTTGCTGCTTTGCCATCCAGAAGTACAAGTCCTCTTTTTGATTCCCCGGCCCAAGCCAAAACTTATTTACTGAATTGCTAGAACTCAATGAACCCTCCTGCAATGCGCCATACTCTAAAATATGCAAAAAACATTATGTATAGATCATATACGCGCTTAAAGTAAATTGCTTAGGCATCTCACCGAATTCCGGCACCTGCTTCTCTACCAGTCCGGAGATTATTGGCAGCATTTGTATGCTAGAGCGAGATGAATTGCCATGTGAAATATTTGAGCATCTACTTAATGCTTTGCTACAATAACATCGCATGTGTTTCCGCATAGAAGTTCGGTAATAAAGCGATTGAAACAAGGACAGAAGAACGCATATTTACACACAGGAATTCATATGAGGCAATTAAACGGGTAAAGAGGACAAATACATATACAAAATGAAAATAAAACTGGATTTTGAATATATCGATGTATTTATACTAGGGTGGTCCAAAAACAGTAAAGTCGGAATTGTAATGCTCTTACCCCCTAGGATTGTTCTATATCAAAAAAAGTAGAACCCTATTTTTTATTTTGAAATTAAAAAATATTTAGAGGTCGCTCAAGGCGCTCAAAGTTTTCCATGTATTTTTATATGGGAAAAATAAATTTTTTTCGTAGAAATGGTATATAATTCTTGAAAGTAAATATTTTTCGATCGGAAAACTCTGGTTCTCTTCAGGAGGCTTTCGATAATAATACCCAATTATTTAACCATTTTTTAATACTAACGATTTTTTATCGGTCGCCCCATTGCATGTTTCGGGATTTTTTTGGGGTTTTGGCGGACCTATAAATTATAGTTGCAATGAAAAAATGGTTAAATAAACAATTGGGTATTATTATTGGGAATCTCCTGCAGATAAACAGAGTTTTCTGAAAGAAAAATATATAGATTTTTAACTATTCTATACCATTTCTACGAAAAGTTGTTTTTTCCCTATATAGAAATCATGGAAACCTTTGGGCGCTTTGAGCGACCTCTAAATATTTTTTGATTTTAAAATATAAAATAAGGGTATATTTTTTCAGTATAAAACAATCCTAGGGGGTGAGAGCATAAAAATTCCGACTTTAATTTTTCACATGCATTTTTTGACCACCCTAATGTATACATATCTTAACTTATATAATAAGTCAATAATTTTATTGATTAACAATCACTGAAAAAAAAACTTACCCTTTTCGTGTTACATGAATATTTGGTGATGTGGAGTTTGACCTTTGTGCCGCGCCATGTAAGAAAGCTTCATTAGCAAATCTCATGCCAAATTGTGAAGTATCTAAATTTTAAAATATTTTTCTTGTTAAAAATCTCATACATGCCTACAAATTTGAAATCACGGTAATAGCATGTGAAAAGAAAATATAATAGAATCTAAAAATAGATATAGGGTAGCTTAAGATTTATTTGAAAGTGCAGAGTATTAGATCGAAAGAAACTCAGTGTACACAAATGTAAAATAATATCAGCACATTTCAGCCAAGGTCCAAAATGATGGTGAAATAAAATGTTTCATGTAAATAAAACAGAACTTGCATTTTAATCTAAATGTCGTTCTGTTTGTGGCAGAGAAAGTTTCATTCAGTGGCGGACTGGGTCAACTTGTCAAATAAGGTTAAATTAACTACACACAGAAAAAAGTAACGTAATTTTTTCAAACAGCGTCATTTTTGGGGTTTCCATATTAGCAATTTTAAAATTTTGAACAGAAAAAGTATGTTCACATTATCGTAATTTATCGTTCATTCGTAATTTATAAAAAACTCATGCTAAAATCAAGTAATTTTGCCATGTAAAATTTGTCAGTAAATGCGAAATTCGCGAAAATTCAACCAATTTCAAAAATTTGCTATCAAAATTTTAGATTTTTTAATCAAATGTTTTAGAAACGTTTTGGGCGTGCATTTTTATAGCCTATTCAATTCCAGTATAATAAGGTGCAAGTTCGAAGTTATGAATTTTCTTCGATATAAAATGCGAAACGCCTCCAACCAAAAAGTTCTCTAAAAGCGGTGCTAATTTTGAGGTACTTCAAACGTTCGCTTTTTGTACTGAGATTGAATGAGCTATAAAACTTCATCCTAGAGCTGGGATACTATAGATAGCATCGCCACTCTATAGTTTACAAAACGATAGTTGAAAACATCAATAGTATCGATGGTACTATCGTCGTGAAAGGTATTGAATTTGCTTGAAAATTAAGTAATTAATAAATTTATAAAATTTATAAATTACTTTGTAAAGTAAAGAGATTATATAAATTTTAAATTTGAGTGTATCAAAAAGAAGTTCTTATAATAATAAAATAAACTTATCAATTTATGCGTCTGAAATATATATATTTATATAACTTGCATCCACTTGAAAAGCGACAGGCAAAATCTGAATTTATTTTTTATAAGGAAAAATTAAATTCGGATTTAGTTTGTCCCTTTTGAAGTACAAAGAAGTGAAATTTGGTTAAAATAATACATTTCTAATACTACAAAACAAAAGATATTCGTTTAAATTGACCACTCATACTTATAAAAGACGCATATCAAAATACGGACAAGGGAAATTATTAACATATTACCATATTAAAAGAAAGCGAATATATTAAATAAATAAATAAAAAGTTTTCAAAACTATCGATAGTGGCGACGGTTTTCAACTGTCGATACTATCGATATTACTATAGATTTCTTTAAAAATTTTAAGCTGTTTTCAGATTTTTTAGAATTTTTCTGAGTACACAGTGTCTTAAATTTTAGTGTAATAAAATGCAGGTTTGAAGTAGCTAGGCAAGTGTTGATTTTTTTAAATTTTTGGTCACGCATTTTCTTCGAAACAAAGTGTGTTGAAAAATTTTTTGTATGGAGAAAATCCGCAACACCTTCCAACAAAAAAAATTCCAAAAAATCAATAGTAAGTCCTAGTTACTTAAAATTTGCACTTCATTAAAATAAAATTGAGTGGTCTACAAAACTGCATACTCAGAATGTTAAAAGAAAGTTTGAAACTTTTACTAACAAGGTTTTTGTTAGATAACAAGCTACACTTTCATAAAGAAATAAGAAACATTAAATAAACGAAAGGGAAATGCCAAAGAATGCTAAAATATCGTTACTGTTAGTATTGTACGATTATCCGTGAATTAATCGCTGAATTCCATAATCCTGCCGATACCACAGTACAAGCCACCAGACAAGTCAGTTGCGAATCAGCAAGCTATATGTTCAGTTGTGTTAGCAAGTTTTCTAAAGTGTTTTAATTGCCTTAACAAGTATTGTTATTAGTTGTTATTGCATAAACAAGTATTGTAAAGTGTTTGTTGTACAATAAAGTTAATTGTACTGTAACTTGGTCATCGCATACTGGGGCCAAGCGTGCTCAAAATTCAAATTTTAAAAACTTTTTTTTTTTTTGCAAAAATAAAAACGCAGGTTTATTCCCCATTAAATTCTACATTTGGGGGTAAGTTTTCACCTTTCTATCGTTTTTCGGCTGGGAGATATGCGTGTTCAAACTTGACAAATTTGAACAAAAAACTTTTTTTTTTTTAAACTGAGAAATTCAAATGTACAATTTAAATGGTTACTGTAAGAAAGCGGTATTAAGGTATCCCCACACCTATGCGATTCTGCCGGTGAGAATCTCTTCCGACAAAAATTACAACAATGCCGACAACAGTTTTAAATGAGAAACTTCACACTTGTGCGATTTTGCTGCAGCGATTTATTCGAACATTCCCAGTTCTCCTTTTGGTAGTGCCGAAATCGCAGACTGCCACGTTTTGAGAACGAAAAATGTCAATAAAAGGATTTTACAATATTGAAAGAAAATTGAACGTAAGAAAACAAAACATATTTGATGTAGAAAAGTTAAGAATTTTATTTTTGATGAAAAATATTTTTTGTTTGTCTATAAATTGACAATTTTTACTGCGATAAAATCGCTCAGATGTGTGCGTACGTGCGTTTTCGAAGCAGTAACGTTTGTAGCATCAAAAACGGTGCAGTTTCGTTGCGACATAATGCATTGGTGTGTGGATACCTTTAAATTTCGTCATTTTGTTTTTTCCATTACTTAAAATGAAGTTTATTTATTCTTTTGGTAAATTTTGTTTGAAATTATGTGTTTTAAAAAAATTACGATTAAAAACAACTAAGCTAACCTCTGTTTTTTGCAAGTGTAATTTTCAAAATCCCTTTTTTTTAAATGCGCAAAGCGCTTTTAAATTTGACAGCACTGCAATAAAGTACTAGGAATCCGGGTTCAAAACCAAAAGCCCTTGCCCATTTTTAAATAAATTGGTTTTAAAAATTTCACTTTGATTTTAATTAAACACAAAAACATACACTTCTGGTTAAGTTTGGTTCTGTTTCATTTCGAACTTAAACTGTTTATTATTTTGAAGTTGCTCAATGAATAAAAAGCGGATTTAGTTCTATCAAGGACTTTAAAATCTTTAGTGAGAAGCGGATTTAGTTCGAACAAGGACTTTAAAAACTTTACAGAGATCTATAGTAGGAAAACGGGTTGCGCTGACAATTCAGGGGACGTTTTTAATAGATAGCTAGTTTTATTAGACCCTCTGATTACTTGCTCGCACCTATTGCCAGTGGTCACCAACCGGAGATCTTTCATTGCTGAAGCAATGGAGTTAGTAGAACTTGAAGCGAATTATATTAGTTTAACGGGGCTTGGATGGGATTCAGATTCCGATTATGAGGAATAGGTGTCACAGTTTTCATTACATAGTGCTTATCATAACTTTAAAACACCCACACATTGAAAAGTTTTGACTATTCTTTTTTTATACCCGAGCGCACTTGTGCACAAGGGTATATTAATTTTGTTCACATAACGGTTGTTTGTAACAGCCAAAACGAATCGAGATAGATATAGACAAATGTATACATAAATG